TATAGGCAGTCAGTGTTCCTTATGTCAGTGATATTGAACATTGCATTTCCTGGAATGAACATTTGGCTAACCCATAGTATGAGTTCTCTGTCATAAACTGAAACTCATGACATGCTTATAAAAATCCTTTGTTCCACCAGTGTATCTCACATACACAGAGGTATGAGCAGGGAGGATGGAATAGCAGATTGTGGCAAAGATCCAACATCTGCATCAGGAAATATGCTTGCCTAAATCTAATGTTTCTTGAATGTAAATGCTAAATTAAATGCACACAAGTGCTTGAATTTTGCAAGTGCTTATAACATGCATTCTGTCATGCATATCCAAAAAATTAAAATGCTAGTCATCAGGTACATTAACATGAGCACTAATCTAAATGCACATAAATGTATGGTTTTCTGCAAATGCTTGTTAGTTAAATAATAAAGCATCTCAATATTAAACTGACACTGTATGTAATGATTGTCTTACAATGAATAAATGCATAATGACATTCCTTTTTCGATTTAAATGTTTTTACATGTTGGCATTAACATAATGTTAATATTAAGTGTTATAGTTTATTTTTATCAATGAGCATTCATCATTTCTCATATTTATTCAATAGCTTACAAACGCCAAATCAAATTAAACCAACAATAATAAACCAGTCAGTATTCAAAGGAAATAGGGCCCAGTTCTTTTTTGACCTAACAATTATAAATCTAATACTACAAATGAGTCATTACCTCATCATGATACAATATTACTTGCCTAATACTATGACAACTTGCTCATTCTATACTCCATCTGCTTTTGATATATGACTGCAGTTGTCAGATCTGACAGATAATGATAGTAATCTTCCATAATTTCTGCTCTGTGGTACAAGTGATCTCAGAAATGAATGCAGTAGCAAGAGAAATGGACATATTAATATTATAATTAGGCAAATAATAGTTGTAATAGTAAGACCTGACATAATTGGTGATTTATATCGTATATAGGGATTAGACTTATTATATTTGGTTCTCTATAGTATAAGAATGTATGGTTCATTTTTAGTGCAGATACTCGAAGAGCACCCAGGTTATGAGTTGTGTATATTCATCATATTTTGCGAATGATGTATTACTATTACAAGCATATCAATATGATTTAGTGGAGCAAGCACAAGATACTAATTTTCCAGCAATAGGATGTATGACACCCACCATTTGAGATCACTATATGGTCATCAGAAAGTAATTATAGCACTTTTCAAAATAGTATGAAAACGAAAATGAAAATGAAAACACTGTCAGCCAATAGAATCGGGTATATCACATGTTACAAATTATATGAACGAGTATTAGTATTCACCTGACTAATCCTGATTGTCATGAAATCATAACATTGCAGTTTGTCAAAGATATTAGACTGTGGTTCAGGATAGGTACTATTAATTAATTTCTTTTTCTGGAATCTGAAAAAATCACATTTTATAACATTTTAAGCCTCAATTGCAATACAAAATCAAATGATCAGGTTAGCAAAATTAGGCAAATATTATGAACCAACGCTAGAAGGATGCTGTAATCCATAATAATAAAGCCAACTTTTTGAGCTTGTTATTGATAAATACGTCTATCTTCATGAGATAAAATCTTCAGTCTCTCACCAATCAATGCTAATTGTTCTGCAGAGATCTCTAACCAGAACTAATGATGTCCCTATAAGAAATCAAATCATCTAGATATCAATTCACTTTCTATTCATCAAAGAACATGAGAACCTTGGAGAAATGATCTTTAGTGTTCAATAAGTTAATAACAAGAGCTAATTACATACTCTATGTCATCTACCTTTTCTTTTTCTGCAAATCCAATTAATTCAACCCATCAAATAACTTTCCCCTTCCCTTAGATCCACAAAGAAAACATTGATATACACCCACCTCCTTCTATGTTCACAAGCTAACAGTAGAGTGAAAAAATGTCTCTTCTTGTTCACATCCATCCTGATGCACTCTTCTCCAATGCAAGTTTTCACTGAGACTTTTTGGCAGTCTTCTAATGTATGTTTAGTGAATAATATTAAAAGACAGATTGTGAATACATATGTTAATTTCATACTCAGTTATAATTGCTTCCTAATACTAATCATTATAATCATCTGTAATTGCTGGTGTAACCACTCAACAAGCTTTTTTTCTTGACTTCTGCTAAGTAAGCAACTACATTATACTAAGTATAAAGTAAACACATTTGTTGTTTCAAAGAGACCCAGTATCCACTGAGTTATTCAAGTTATCACAAAGTTTTCAAGTTATAATTGCTGTTTTCACAAAAAAAGGTGTGCAAAATTTTGTGTGACTGCAGAATTTTGAAAAGAGTGATAATAATAATAAGGAATTCAGGATTTATTGGCCATACCAACTCTGCTGATAATGATCAAGGAAAGTAAACTATCTTATATAAGCAAGGTTGCACAAATTAAAAACAGAATAACTCAAGAAAGAACTATGCAAAGAAAATTCATAAAGGTTTGATGCTTGTATAATCATTCCTGCTAAAACCCATTCAATACTAAATCTTGTATCTCCCATAGATCCAAATAAAACCCATTAACTACCCCAGCTGTGACACTTCCAAATGCACCATTAAAAAGTTCAATAGCAGGAATATGCAATTGATAAATCGGAATACCAGAGGCATTACACGCAATTGCTGAAAACCTGACGCCAACGATGTTAGCAAGTGGAACACCAATACTCATAAGAAATCCTATTGTACTCAGATGGAGAGGTGCCGTACCAAAAGATATGATGATGTCTGGCACCGTATTAATTTGATTTGTACATAGGTAGCGCAGTGCAAGCATTGCTCTTGTACCATCTTGACGAATGGGAAACCATTTGATCGCAAGATAAATTTGAATAGTTGTTCGCAGGGAAAAGTAACCTGTCGAGAGATCATGTAAGCTAGAAACAGACTCGCTGTTGCCAACTTCAACAACCAGTGTTGGATATGGGTGCCCGCTTGAGTTAGATCCCTGGCCAGGTG